GTTATAATTAGATAAATATATATATATATATATATATATATATATTTATTTTAATATTTAAATAATTTTATTATTATATAAATTATTTATTATTTTTTTTTCTTTTTTAAATTATATTGTTCAATTTTTAAAAAACATTTATTATAAAATTATATATAATTAATTTTAGAAAATTAATATATATATATATTTTTTTTATAAATAAAAAATATTTAGATTAAATAATAAATTCAGGTAATTTTATTAAAGAAATTAAAAAAAATTAATGATATTATTATTATATATTTTTTTAAAGTCATTTATAATATATATAAATTAATATATAAGGTAATTTAATATTAATTTTTTTACATATTAATATTATTATTTTATATATATAAATATAAAAAATCAAAAATCAAAATAATAAAACATGCCTAACATAAATAAAAATGCATAAAAATTAATACATAATATATTAATTAAATAAATTAATAATATTTAAAAAAATAAAAATTTATAAAAATATAAAATTTATTAAGATAATATATATTTATATGACTGAATTAATAAATTAAGGTTTGTTATTTAATTATATTTAGTGTAATTAATATAATTACTAAAAAAAAAAAATTGATGTTTTTAAGAATTTTAAAATAAATATATAAAATGTTATATATAATTAAATACAAATAAAAATGATAAATATAGTATATAATTAATATACATATAATTTTTTTATAATATTGATTATAATTTAAATTTTTTTTTATAATAATTGTATTTTAATATATTTCTAAAACAAAAAATTTTAATCAATATATTTTTAACTTTTGAATTAAATAAAACATTTTATATTATAATAAATTAAATTTTATAATATAAATTTTGAAAAAATATAAATTAAAATATATATATATATATATATATATATTATATATTTTTTATAATTCTTTTATAAAAATTTTATATATTTATGTTTATTATCCCATATATATTTTTTTTATAATTATTTATTTATACACTCATATTAAATTATATTAATATTAATATATTCTTTATTATAAATTAATATTGTTTATTAGATAATCAACCAAAATTATTGATTATTTATAATAAATAAATTTTAAAATATTTTTTTTCTTTTTTTTTCAAAAAAAAACCAAAAATAATTTATTTTAATCAATTAAACAATTATATATATAAATATAAATTATTTTTTAATAAAATAATAATAAATAAAAAAATATAAGCAAAGAATAAATTAAATTAAATATAATATATATATATATATATATATTACATATATTATAAAATATTTTTTTATTTATATAAATATATTTTTTAATATATTTATTCATTTTTTTCTCTATTATTATTATATTTATTATAAAATATTAAATGTTTTTTTTATATTTAAATAAATATATTTAATAAAATAAATTTATTTATCAATTTTAACCCTAAAAAATTTAATTAATATTATATCAATATAAATCTTTATAAATTATATATTTAAAATATAAATAAATATAATTATTATCATATTCAAAACACCTGATATATATTTTAATTTGAAATTAAAAATGAAATATTGGATTATTAAACTTATATCTATTTTTACAATATTTTTGATGATATTATTAACAGGAAATATACCTCTACGAGTTAAATCCTATAAATAAAATACTCGATTAATGTCTATATCATAAGCATTTACCGGTGGTTTATTTTTATCAATTGGAATAATATATATAATACCTGAAGCCTAAGAATATTTAAATTTACATTACCACGAAAGATTACAATATTTATAATTAGAACAAAAAAAAAAAATTAAAAAACTCCTGAATAAAAAAAGAGGAATTAGATTAATTGTATAAAGAAATGATAGAAGAATATTATTAAAATAAAAAAAAAAAACGAATGAAGATTAAGAAAATACTGAAGAGTAAAAATAGAAAGAATAAGAAGAATTATAAGAAATTTATGAATATGTATATATTCTAGATTTTTCAGATACTGAGCCTATTGATATAAGTGAAGAAGTAAAAGTTCATCTTAAATAATTTCCGTGGTCATTTTTTACAATAGTTATAACTTTTTCATTAATGATCCTTATAGATAAAGTTATTACAGGATACAATTTAAAAGAAGATTATATAAATATAGATTAATTATAAAAAAAAAATTCAATTAATTAAAATATATAAAATAATATAAAGAAAAAAATAATAATTAGTAAAAAAATGTAATTGAAAATTAATAAATTAATAATAAAAATGAATAGGAAATTTTTTCTTAATAATTAAAAATAGATTAAAATATTGAATATGAAAAGAAATTAACAAGTAATGCAATTTTATAAAACAAGGAAGAATACTCTTAAAAATTGAGTATCTCAAGATAAAGTAATTAACTAGAAAATATAATTTAAGAAATAAAAAAAACAAATCTAAAAATAGCTTAAAACCTTATTTATTGTAAATTACATTAGGATTAAATGCTATATTAGAAGGATTAGCTATCGGACTTGAAAAAGATGGATAAAATGTTTAGTATTATTTGGAGCTGTTACTTTTACTATAAATGGTATTGTAAGGTATTTACGTTTAGGTAAATTACGTTAAAAAAGCTTAAATTATTAGTAATTTAAAAGTAACTACTATAATGGTTATTATTTTAGCTATTATGAATATTATAGGAATAGGTATTGGATGGATTTTAAGCGGTTCAGAAAATTACATATGAGTATTTATATGAGTATAAGTGCAGGTGCATTCTTTTATGTAACAACTATTGAAATTTTATAATAAGAGTTTAGTGATATAAAATATAGGTTTTAAAAATTTTTAATTTTTATAATTGCAGTAGGATTAGTAAGCAGTTTTTGGTTTTTAGAATAAGATATAAAGCATGGACGTTGAAGTTTTAAAATTATAATTTAAATGTTATTTTATAACTTTTATATAATAAGAAATTAATTTTACTTTAAAAAAAAACTACAATTATATAAATAAAATTTTAAAAAATAAATTAAAATATATATATAAAAAATTAAGATATATATATAGATATATATATATATATATATATATATATATATATATATATATTTATTTTTCTTAAATTTATTATTTTTTTATATATACAAAATATTTTTTTTAATATTTATATTTAAATTTCATTTTAAATAATTTAAATTTTTATTTATTTGAAAAAAATAATTATTTAACTTGCATAAATAATATTTGTTTGATTTTTTTCAAAAAAAATTAATTTTCTTATAAAATATAATATATTTCATTAAATAATATTTTTAATAAATATTTAAGTATATTTTTTTATTTATTTGAATTTAATATAACTTTTTTTTATAAAGAATCAGATAAAAGTTTTTTATATTGATTTAAAACTATAATAATACAGCATATATAATTTATAAATTCTTATATTTGGTAGAATTATAATATAATAAATAAATATAGAATGACTATTTTTAAGAATTTTAAGATTAATATTCTTAGAATAGTTTATTAATACTAATAAATTAGTTGTAAAATTAATCTTAAATAATAAAAAAACAAAATTTTTATATACATATAATTTATTTTTTTCTATATTAGCCTCAGAAATACTATGTTATAAATTGTCATTAATTAATATACGGCTTTAGTTTCTAATATCTAGTATTGAATTAAATGTAACTAATATAATGGATATTTTTAAATTATTACGAATCTTTTAAATTAAGGAATTTATATATATTAAAAAGTAATAAATGAGGTTTTTTTCTAAGTATTTTATTGAATATTAGTTATAGAACATTCTATTATATATCTGATCTAAACCTTTGTATAAAGATTTATGATAATTGATTTAAGATCATAAAATAAATACTTTTTGTAAAAACTATATAGTTGATTAATATTTATATAAATAAAATAGATATAAATATACATAAAAATATATATAAGTATATATAATTTCTTAATTTAAATTTTATTAAATAAATATATATATATATATATATATATATTATTACTTTTTTTTATTTAGAAAATTAATATTAATTTATTTTATTTAGAAAATAATTTTTTATTTTTGTATTTAAAAAAATATTATAATAAAAAAATCATTAAATAAGATATAAAAATTATATCCAAAAAAAAAAATTATTTAAAATATTATTTTTTCTTCGTTCTAATTTTTTTTTTAAAAAAAATTTTTAAAATATATATATATATATAAATATATATATATATATTTATTTACAATATATATAAATAAATCAATATAATGTGTATTATAATAAATAAATAAAATATGTATAATTGTATAAAAATTAATTTATTAAATAAATATATTATTATTGATATATATATTTTAAAAATATTAAATTATATTGATATATATAATATTAATTTTTTTTTTTTTTTAAATTATTTTAATCAATTAATCTAACTATTACAAAATGTTATTATAAATTTATTAATACTTTTATTTGAATATAAAAAATAAAAATGATTTTTAATTAATAAAATTTAATAATATAAATTCTTAATTATAATATTTAAAAAAATAAAAACAAAATATATATTATTTTATTCATTATATATATTCATTAATTATTCTATTTTTATTTTATTTATTTAAAAATGATAAAAATTGAAAAAATAAAAATATAGAACTATGAATATATAAAAGGTCATATAAAAAGATACTTATTTATTTGGTATAATTATAATTTAATTTATTTTTATATTATTTATTTTATCAGTATTAAATGACATTAAAATCTTATATAAATTATTATAAAAAAATTAAAATTAATAATTAAATTTAAAATATTTATTAATAAAAGTTAATTTAAAATAAAGATGAAATATTTCATTATAAAACTAATATCTATTTTATCAATATTTTTTATAATATTATTGACTGGAAACATACCTTTAAATGTAAAATCATATAAAGAAAATTCTAGATTAATTTCTTTATCTTCTGCATTTACTGGGGTTTATTTTTATCAATAGGAGTATTATATATAATACCTTAATCCTAAGAAAATTTAAATTAGCATTACTAAGAAAGATTAGAATATTTAAAGGCGGAATATATAAAATAAAAAAATAAAAAATTATTAAATAATAAAAAGAGGAAATAGATTTAAAGTATAATGCAATGATAGATACTTTTTATTAAAAATTAAAAAAAAATACATACATTAAATACAGAAGAGTTAAATGAATAAGAATAAGAAGACTTAGAAGAATTGTAAGGACTTTACGATTTTTTCAATAATTTTAGTTATTTAGACGAAAAGAATTTTAATATAGATGTAAAAATAAAAATTAAATAATTTCCGTGGTCATTTTTTGTAATTATTTGCACTTTTTCATTAATGCTCCTTATAGACAAAGTTATTACGGGATATAATACAATTAAAGATTATTTAATTGATGATGATTTAAAAATGAAGTGTTTAAATAATCAAGATTATAAAAACGATTATATTTAAGAAAAAATAATTAATAATAATAATTATTAACACTTTATAATTGAAGATAAATAAATTAATAAAAAAAGTAAATAATAGGAAATTTAAGAAATATAATTATAATATATTAATATGGCATAAAATATTGATTACAAAAAAAGATATACTACATCTGAAATGATATAAAATAAATATGAAATATCTTTAAAAATGAGTATATCGAAATAAAGTAATTAAGAAGAAAACACACTCAAAGAAATAAATAAAAAAAATTCTTAAAACTGCTTAAAACCATATTTATTATAAATAACTTTTGGATTTAATGCCATATTAGAAGGATTAGCTATTGGACTTCAAAAAGATTGGATAAAATGTTTAATAATATTTGGAGCTGTACTTATTCATAAATGGATTGAAGGATTAACTTTAGGAAATTATATGAGAAAATCTAATATTAATAAAAAAGTAAATACTACAATGATTATTATTTTTGCTATTATGAATATAATAGGTATAGTAATTGGATGGATTTTATGTAATTCTAAAAAATTTTATATGAGTATTTATATGAGTATTAATGCTGGTACATTCTTTTATATTACTACTATTATAATTTTAGAAGAGGAATTTAATGATATAAAATATAGGTTTTAAAAATTTTTTATTTTTTTATTTGCAGTAGAATTAGTAAGTTGTTTTTGACTATTAGAATAATATATAAATCATGAACGTTGATTTTTTTTAAACATGTTAATATAATTAAATTAGAAAAATTATATTTAATAATTAGTTAAATAAACAAAAATTCATATAAATTAAAGTTAATATAATAAAAAATTAAAATATATAAGTAAATATATAAATAAATTTAATTATAAAATATATATAAATATATATAAATATATATTAAATATTTAAATATAATTTTTATATTTATTTTTATTAATTTTAAAATTTTCATATATTTAATTTAAATTCTATTTTAATTTTTAAATAAATTAATTATTTTATCATCATTAATAATGATTTATATTTTTTTTATTTAATAAATTAATTTTTTTATTAAAACATTATGTATTTTATTAATTAAATATAATTTTTTGTTTTTTTCTTTTATTAAATATATATTTTAATTTTTTATACAATTTATAATAATTTTATTTTATTTAGAATTTTAATATTTTAATTTAAATTTAAAATAATATATAGTTTTTGACAATATTTTTTAAAATA